AAAGGAAAAAGGCACAATCTTCTGAAGCCCTTGCGCCTTGCGGGAGCACGGCTCTGCGCCTTTGGGGGAGGGGGGTCTCTCAAACGCTGGTGCCACGCTTCCCCCTTTCCAGTCCCTGCCATGTAACCCTTGTCCTTTCAACGACGCGGGGGAAGAGAGCAAAATAAAAAAAAGAACTGCCGTGGAGTGTTGGTTTTCTCTCAAATGCCGATCTGCTTCTCTCCCACGTGGAGACACTCCTCCTTTCTCGTCACGTGATGGCCATGCTGCGGCTCTGCTATGCATGACGATAGTTATAGCGCGAGAACAAAACGACGACACGGAGACAAGAAGGACACGAAAGACACGAGCGCTCGCGTCTTTCGTGTTCTTCTTGTCTCCGTGTCGTCGTTTTGTTCTCGCGCTATAACTATCGTCATGCTTTACCAACTAGCCCAAGCTGCCACACTCCGCTATGCCGTCGTTCTTGGCGTCGTCTTTAGAGAGTGTCGGCGCTGGACATTTCCGCGTGCAACTTCTCTTGCCGGGAGAATGTGAAGTCGAAGTAGAAATGATTTGCAAGTTGCGTGCGAAATTGACTCGCTGCAAGGCAAACGTGTGCGGACACACATCACCGATTACTTCAATTATTGATGGATGTCCTGTGAGTTGTGAATAAATGCAAGTCTTCTGAAACTTCCCCCTCGTGTGTTAGCTCAATGAACATGCGCCACTGCATGGAGAGTCATCTGTTTATTTAGCTTTCATTATTCGAACTTTTTTTTAATTCGAACAAATTTTCGGGCCCCTTCGAGTTCAAATTATCGAGATTCGACTGTACTATATACATTGCGTACGCACGACCCACGGCTTAAGGAGCTTCGCCTTTAAATGTCATGGCCATGCCACCCTCTTTGGTGTTACTTTAGGCGACCGCGCCCTCCTAAAATGAGTAGCTGGATCCACCCCTCGCGTCTTTCAAATGATACACGATACCAATGCAGAACCAACTTTTTTTACATTAGCTTGAATAAAATAATATATATCTTGACTGCCAAATAATTAAGTAGCTATACCCAAACAGCTGTGTGCTGTGTTTGCTACCAGTTTTCTTTGTTTGCATACCAGACACTAAAACTGACTTCTGCAGCTCACTATAGCAATACGAGTACAGAACACTCTGGGCAACAGAGACACGAGTTTCCAATGACAATGGGCAGTTTGTAGTGGTGAATTCTGCTAAAAAGGACACTGCAACACTTCTCCAGCATCGACGGAAACACCGCCGACTGGTAGTTGAGGTTCCTGAGAACACGCAAACCAAAGAATACAGCGTAGCACGCAGCCTGGAATCGACAATTAATTCTTAAAGTCAGCTAGAAATTGTTCCCTTTTCTGTCTAAAAATGATGCCATGTACCCAAGTCAACGGCCATTCGTCAATTTCAGCATGGCAAACTGTGTAGTTACTGTGGCTGCCGCGGGATGGCGTCACGTATCCCCGCTTGCAATCACTTTGAAAGGAAGCTGTGCTTTCAAAGAAAAATGAAAAGGAAGTATTCAAGGTCAAGATGCACATTGACCTTGAGAGGGGGATGACAAGGGGCACATCTTCTTGCCCCCCCCCCCTTGTCATCCCCCTCTCTGCAAACCTTTCAGTGCGCTCACTGGTATGAAAAGAGAAAATGCTTAAAGCATGTAGCAAACTTCCGTAACTTTGCTTGTACTTGACGAATTGTGTCAATTTTGGCGATGGTTAGTTTGCAAGGCAATAAGCTCTCTTAATGAAGCCATTAGATGATTACTTTAAAACCTGTTGCAGGACCCCTTTAAAAAGTAATGTTCATAAACTTGTACACAGAGTGAATATGTTAAAAGAAACCTAACCCTTAATAGTTGTATGCTCAGAGCACGCCTGAGAATGTGGCAATGATGAGAGAACCTTTTTTTTTCTCTCACAACCTCTCCCTTGCCTTGTAATTAATATGTACTTTATAGAAATCACCAGTTGGAAGTCAGCGCTCTTTGCCTCTCTCCGATTGTTCTGCAAACCTTCTATGCACTGTTAACATTTAGCAATTAACCAATGGCGTAGCCAGGGAGCGGTGAACCGGGCCCGTGCCCCCCTCTCCACCATACAATTTTTTCGCCATGGCATAGAGCAAAAAAATGACGGTTGACCACACATCTGCCTGCCCCCCCCCCCCCCCCCCCAAATAAAAATTCTGCCTAAGCCTTTTCTTGAAAAATCTTGTCTAGAGAATCGTCCTTTTCTATATATTTACATCCCCACACTCGGGCATGATGACATGGGAATGATGACACTCATTAGTAACCTTCGTAATTGTATTGGTGGAATGGTCATGCCACAGAAACCCAGGAGAGAGAGAGAGAAAAACATTTTTTAAATGAAGCTTGTGAGTGAAGGCGGGAGGGTCCCTTATTCCAGGAACCCTCTGGCTTGGGCAGCCCGCCGGGCTCGAGCGATGAGTTGACGCTGCTCGACCAGGTCCGGCTGGGAGATCGCAGCCTCCCACGCTTTACTGAGGAGGTCTTGGTCCGCATCTGGTGCTGCTGCTTGTAGCCTTGGAATGCTTACTTTGCACTGCAGTAGGAGGTGCGCCAGAGTGTCTGCCACATTGCAGTGAGGACAGATGTAGCTATGCAACGTTGGCCTCATATGGTGCTATAGTACGCCGTAGGTGAATGTGTTGCTTTGAAGACGCCTGTAGTCAGTGCCTTCATCTTTTGTGAGTTTTGGATGTGGCGGAGAGTATTACCTGCATTCGAGCCGATAATGTTGAAGCAATGCATGATACGTTAGTGTTACGGGTTCTCTTGCCTCTGATTCTGTTGTTGAGTGAGAGGTGCCTCGGATCTCGTACGGGAATGCCCGATAGACGCATTCGCGGGCTGCGGTGTGTGCCGCTTCATTTCCCTCGAGACCTTCATGACCCAGGATACACACGATGCATGTGTAGGGAGGAGGATTGTCCATGCGCTTTAGTAGCCTAATCGCCACCGTGGAGACCCTGCCTTTCAGGTAGTTCCGTGCCACTGCTTGTGAGTCGGTAAGACCACGATGGGATCCTCACTCATCTGGGTGGCGAGTGCTATAGCAGCCTCTTCAGCTGTTTCCGCAAGTTTGGCGAGGATAGTCGCCGATGCCAGTACCGCGCCCTTGTAATCTGCGACGGTAATCGCAAAGGCGTTACGTCCCGGATATTTGGCTGCGTCCACGTATCGCGCCTGCGGGTCATTGCCATGGTTTTTACGGATCATGTTAACCCTGGCAAGTCACCTTGCTCGGTGATGTTGAGGATGCATGTTCTGAGGGATCTTCGGAATTTTAAGGCATTCTCGTTGCTGTGACGGTACTTTGCCTTTGCGTTCTTTGTTGGGTCCTAGTGTGGTCTCGTATCCTGTACGTCGAAGGATGGCTTGCCCTGTGAGTGACAGCTTGAGTCTATTGACCTGGTTGATGAGGTGTGCTTCGGTGAGTTCTTCCCACGTATTGTAAACTCCCATGCGAAGCAGTCAGTCAGTGGAGGCGGCAGTCCTAGGGCAAGCTTTGTAGCTTTTCGTATCAGCAGATTAAGTTTTTGTTTCTCCGCTGTCTCCAGGTTGAGGTAGGAAGTTCCGTACGTTATGCGGCTGTAAAGGAGAGCTTGTACCATTTTTAGGGTGTCGTGCTCTTTCAAGCCACTGCGGCGGTTAGCTACCCTTCGGATTAGGTGAGTGAGCTGTGTCACAGTAATCTGCAGCCGGGGTAGGGCAGCGGAGCCAGACCCATCTTTATGTATAAGTAGTCCAAGGACTCGAAGCGTAGATTACCGTATTTTTTATCTTCACCAGACTACTAGCGGGCTCTGCCAGCCATATCCTGCTTTGTGAAACTAGTTCTCTAGATGTACAAATGAGTAATTATTAACATAAAAGGTACATTCAGCGACTCAGCACTACTATTACACCACTTCATCCACGGTGACTGCAACTGTCTGTGCAGAAAAACCAACATGCAAGGCCATTCAATGCTATTCAGGTTCGAACGACTGTAGCTACGAAGAGTTCGATGCAGCCAACCTACTTTGATTTACGTAAGTTATCCATTTTATAAACTAATTTCTGTAAAATATAGCTAACTTCATTAGTTCTCTAAGATAAAGAGAGAGACTAAAAAACTGCCTTATCGAGGACCTAAGTTACACATTACAGATGCCTACAGGGCACAAAGATGCATTACAACACAGACAAGATGATGGGCAAAGCTTTGATGCCAGGAGATAAGAGATGAAAAAGTAAGACATAAATTAATGCCTACACAATGTTTTTGCTGAAATTAGAAAAGGTTGCAAACAGACACTTGATTCAAGTGGCACAAACCAACAAGGCTGATATTCTTGTGCGAGATTAACAGCCCGAGGCGTCTTCCACAAATGAAAGGGTAATGGTGCTATGTGAAACATACATACAGTATACGCAACTGTGGACATTATCGGCCCAGTGTTTTTCTTTATTAAACTCCTCTTTTTCATCATGTTTGTAAATAAGCTAATTGGCCATTCTATCAATGAACACCTGCATGAGCACTAAAATGAGTAAGCTAGTAGTGTTACCTAAAAACCTTACTGCATATTGTGCGAAGTGCTGCTGCACAGCACAGTTCCAGCAGGCTAATTTAGTGCTGGCCTAATATAAATGAAAGCAAAAGATTATTTAAGCCAAGCTTTCTGCATGCTGGCCAGAGCACATGGCACACATGCAAGAATTCGTTATGTTATAGCACAGAGAGGCCAAAAAAAAAACAGTGCTTAATCTCGGCAAAACAAAAAAAAGCAGCCCTGAGTGCTAATAAACAAGCATGGCTGGCAGCTTCATTACAAACTGGAGTTATCTATTCCCTTTTTATAACTTGTTTTTCTTCTGCCAAGAGCTTGTTTGATCTCATCAGTCAGAGCACAAGCTCCAGTACAGAGGAGTGTACAGGCCAAGGTATAAATGACAAGAGCAACTGCCTCTCACGGTTTTTATGGATCTCCTTGACCGCCAGCAACATCTCTGACCAGTAAAACTTGATTGTGACAGGATCAAGGTCCTCCTTTCTGTTCATGAGCACAGAAGCGAGATCTTCGTCTCCCTTTTCCATTACTAAGGCCAGTACCTTGTCCTTCACGTTGAGTTCACTGCAGCAAAAACACAAAAAAATGTAGTGAATCATTCCTAAAAAAAAAAACATTAACTTGAACTAATTGACTGGTTTTCTACAAGTATAAGTGTTATTCAATGCAACCAGACCCTCGTTTGGCTGCACTCCAGTTAATTAGGACAGACCTTTCGGTGTGCCGACTGCAAAATCTCACAAATGTAGAGGGCAAAAAAAAAAAGTGCTGAAGAGGCACTAGTGTCTGCCAAAAACCAAGCAGTCCCGACCACATTGCCATTATCATAAACTATCTGGATCTACCCCCATATGCGATGCTGTGTTGGTGGCACGCAGTGTGTGTGTGTGTGGTGTGTATGTATGTATGTATGTATGTATGTATGTATATATGTGTGTATATATATATATATATATATATATATATATATATATATATTTCCACACACACACAAGAAAGAGGAAGCTAGATAAAGAACAGCCGGCCTAGCGAACGGTTGCTGTGCCTGAGTCTTCTTCACTACAGTGACGCAGTACGACACCTCAACCTCACAGTGGAAGCCACCTGTACTCGTCCAACTTCGGCCTTCCAGAGCCGCCTATCCAGGAACGCTGTCTTCACTTCTTAGGATATAGAAACCACAAGTTCAGGAAGCATAGTTCGGCAGGAACTACGTCCAAGCCTCACCGTCAACCACTTTCCTTTCCTGCCTGCACTATCAATACCGTCCGAGAAAGGCGTCCAGGCCTCCTCGGTAACTCAATGGTACTTTCATCACATTTCACTGATTAATGACATCACCACGCTGATTGCTACGACAACAGCCTATTCCGCGACCACTGGCAATGGTTCTCCAGGTGGCTCACATGACAGTGCTGCTAAGATCATCAGCGAAGGAGGAGGATGGAAGGAGGAAGGACAGGGAGGTTAGCTGCCTGCTTGGGCCAACAACTTCAGAGCTTGGCGCCTTCGAACTACCGGGTCTCAAGCAACAGCGTGAGTACCAGGATCCACGCTATCCCCGCAGCTGTCACCTTTAGTTCCTCCAGCTCATCTGACCTATGCACTGATGTCATGCGGGCGGCGTCCTTGCTTGCCCAGCAGCTAGACCGTTTTGCTTTGCGAACTTCCGGATCTCTGTATTACACATTGCCATCAGTGATTGCTTCGGAACTACCAGAGTTCTGAGAATTTCAGGATTATGCTGTTCTGTGGATCGAAACGGCAAATGCTCTTGGCACCCGTAATGTCTGGCCAGACCATCGAAAATTGCTAGTGGCGATCGGCGCTGCCAAAGCCTGGCACAACTACGAAGGCGTTAAACAACAATTTTGGCCGGAATGGTGTGCCAGGTTAATGTATGTGTTTCGCCAGCTTTTCCATGCCTCCAACCTAGGCTCTATTGCGGATGAGAGCTCTGTGACTCACCAACTCGACAGTGCACCTCTTGACACCCTAGCTCGGGAAACACATTGTCCCGAAGGTGCAGCTTTACCCTCCGCCAAGCAGCGCACTATCAGAGAACTAGTCGGTGAGGGGAAGTACTTCGATTGTTCATCTGTTCCCTCGAGCGGCTGCGCAGACAAAATCACAGACGTGGAAGGAGACGTGCTCGACATTGATACCGGCCGCGAGTAGGACTCTATGCTGCACTTTTAGAATTACACGACTCCCGCGCCCCTAGACAAAAATATTGCCCACAAGCCCCAGCAGTTCGCGATGTGGTCTCCATGTTCATCAGAGCCTGAGGGTATGCTGATTCCAGATAGTATAGTGCCCGACGGGCACGACGTCAAAAAGCCGGACAAGTCCAGCACTGCCATCAATGTGCTCTCAGGCCCAGCAGGACAGCTACAGCAGACTCGAGAGCCACCACTGCCCGGATGTGTGGATGGCCACCGCGAGTTGGTTGGGATCGAGGAATCTAATTTGACCAACGCGACTAAACACATGGAAGATATGCCTATGCATTCTACTACTCTCTTTGAGACAAGACCACAACTATTGGACCCCTTACATATGTTTTTACATATGTGTAACACACGCTGTTTACACAACCCTGTTTCACCAGTGCCATGCATTATGACTTGCTCGCGTCATGTTTCTGCATCGTTGCGAAGTGGATCCACTTCTTCAAAGCTGCGGAGACGCGTCCGACCGCTGACGCACCCTCCTGAGTCCCCATTGGCAGCTCCACATGCCAGATGCCAGCGTGGCAGAGACTAGCAGCCACTACGCCACAGTCAATGTCGACCGCCAGAGCGATCAACAAATATGGTAGCGAAGCCGACACGTGGCCAAGACCTGTGGCTGCAAAGATTCTGCCAATGCCAGCCACAAGAGACTTCAACACCTTGACACAGCCTGTCATGGTGTGCTGAAGAGAGACCACCCAGGCACAGCCAGTACCCCTCACCACAGGCATCGCTTGCACCTCATCAGACCAACTCGTTGCGTGGCCAAGAGAGATCAGCATGCAACAGACAATGCCGCCCTGCAGAGACTATTTCGCAGCTGGTCTTTCAATGTCGCAGCGCAGCAGAGTGTGAGGAAGCAGGAGCAGTGCTCCGGCACTGGCGCAAGCCCAGCTAGCTCGAAGCAGAAGAGAAAGTCAGATAAAGAACAGCCGGCCCAGTGAATGGGTGCTGTGCCCGAGTCTCCTCCATTACGATATATATATATATATATATATATATATATATATATATATATACACAGTGCATTTCCTTTAAGACCAACTCTGTTAAGATGAATTCTTGCTTGAGACGAACAACGCGGAAGCATTTGTTCGGTTTCCCATAGGCTCAATGCAAAAAAAAAAATCCGCTTAAGATGAATTGCGTAACACAAGTCTTCTGTTAAGACGAACTCTCACGGCAACCAACAACGACGAATATTCTGGGGAACAAACATTATAGTCTCGATGGTAAACTGAGAAAGCAAAATGAAAAAAGGGAGAGAGAGGACTTCTGGTGCCAAAACTCAAAGCATTTCGAAAGCTAATTGTGACGTGGATAAAGAAAGCAAGATAAGTAGAAAAGAAAGGTCAGTGCATGAAGCTGGTATCTCCCTCACCCTTACCCTGTAGCTGAAGAAAGGGTCGTGTTACAGTTTTATTGTTAAAATGTAGAGGAAATTTATCCATTAGCATATTTATTATTAAATCGTGAAATTGAGTACTCGCTAGATTAGTCTAAATACTCTACTTGAAAGCACAGTTTCTATCAAGCTGAGCCAAATAAATGCTTTTTCTTGTTCTTTTCCTCCCCATTGTAACTATACTTCATTGAGTGTTTTCAAGCAACATATTTAAATGTGCTTGGCATGTTAGTGTTTGGTTTTTGGGGGTACTTCTGATAAGACGAACTCCTCACAAAACGAACAAATGATGGAGGCCCCTTGGAGTTCGTCTTAAAGGGAGTCTACTGTGTCTTAAAGGGAGTCTACTAACGTGCTGCGAGCACGTTATTGCATACGCTAGCCGTCTTTTATCGCCAGCAGAGCGAAATTACTCCATCACAGAACGCGAATGCCTCACACTCGTCTGGGCAGAGGCTAAATTTCGGCCGTATTTGTATGGACGCCCGTTCACGGTTGTCACTGATCACAACACCTTATGCTGGTTGTCGTCCTTAAAAAATCCTAGTGGACGTCTCGGCCGGTGGGCTCTACGGCTACAGGAATATTCCTACACGGTTGTCTACAAATCAGGTCGCCACCATGAGGATGCCGATTGCTTGTCGCGTCATCCAGTAGACCCAGCAAACCTTTCTGAGAGCGATGAGTCTACTTGCGTTTTGGCACTTTCCGCGTTTAGCAACATCGGAGATCAGCAACGCCGTGATCCTCACCTCAGAGATATAATCCTTCGGCTTAGTGGTCCCACAACTTCACCGTCTCTCCGTATGTTCCTGCTCCAAGATGGCGTCTTATATCGCTACAGCATGCATCCTGACGGACCTGAGCTGCTGTTGGTCATACCACAACATATGCGTCAGACTGTCCTTGCACAGTTGCATAATATTCCGACAGCTGGTCACCTGGGAGTTTCAAGAACTTATGACCGCGTTCGACGTCGCTTCTTTTGGCCCGGTATTTACCGATCCGTCAGCCGTTACGTCGCCTCATGCAAATCTTGTCAACACCGCAAAAAACCAGCAACCCTTAAAGCGGGACGCCTTCAACCCATTCAGATCCCATCCAAACCATTTTATAGGGTAGGTGTTGACTTACTAGGACCGTTTCCTTTATCGGCCAGCGGAAACAAGTGGATAGCAGTCGCCACGGATTACACCACTCGGTATGCCATCACACGGGCCCTTCCTACCAGTTGTGCGACCGACGTCGCTGACTTTCTTCTAGAAGACGTCATATTACACCACGGCGCTCCTCGGCAACTGCTTACCGATCAGGGTCGCTACTTTTTATCACAAGTTATCCAAGACATATTGCACTCTTGCGCTACAAAGCACAAGTTCACAACGGCGTATCATCCTCAAACCAACGGGCTCACGGAGCGGCTAAATAGAACCATCACAGACATGCTCCCCATGTACGTTTCTTCCGACCATCATGACTGGGACTCCGCCCTCCCATTTGTAACATTTGCCTATAATACGTCTCGGCATGACACTGCAGGTTTCTCGCCATTTTTCCTCCTGTACGGACGAGAACCTACGTTGCCTTTCGACACGCTCCTTCCTGCCATTGACCACACGTCAGAATATGCCCGCGATGTCATTTCTAGAGCTCTAGAGGCACGTGAGATTGCTCGCCGGCGTCTGAGCGATTCGCAGGAATGACAACAACAGGTCTACAACGCGTGCCATGGTGATGTCCACTTCAGTCAAGGTGACACAGTCCTTCTCTGAACGCCGTCGCGGCGAGTTGGCCTGTGCGAAAAGCTGACTTCACCGTACTCGGGTCCGTACCGTGTGGTGCACCAAGTCACCGACGTGACATACGAAATTGAACCTCTTAACGCCACCAGCGCGCGATCGTGTTCTGACGTTGTTCACGTCACTCGGCTGAAACGATTTTACTCAGACCAACCAAGCACCGAGACGGTGCCTTCGCCGCCGGGGGTGATGCTACGGGGCGCCACAAATGAACATTCTAGAAAAGAGGACGATGTTTAGCGCGAGCTCGTGCAGACCGGGCTCCATATTGTATGCCTGCCTGTTTACCAAAAGTAACGGCATTTTTCAGACGCCTTCTCCCCGTAACAATACATACACACACACACACACACTCTGTGCACGTGAACTGTATGAACCCTACCTATGATCGTATCACTAGGTGCCATGGTTTCGTCCACACTGGATGCAGCAATTAGTATTAGAAGTTCCATTTTGACATGTTTGTGCCATGTCACAGAAGCCACACACGTTGCAAAAGCAAATGAATGATTATCCTACAATGCAAAAAAATAAAGAGTTGCATTTTGTCATGCACATGTGGTGGGGGGAATGAACACATTTTGATGTAAACCTTGGGTTTTAACCTGCAGTAACATTATGAAGGAAGTTGCAAGGTGCCTGGAATTGCCGCTCGGACACTGCATCTATTCGATTTAAGAACAGCCTTTGTAGATTCATCGGACATTTGTTAGTTTTTTGATACACTTGCTAATTTGACATTTGGCTAACACAAACATTCTTTCCCAGTACCGAAAAATTCAACTAACATGGTTTTACTATACGTGCAAAATTTATTACAGTGCACTGATTTACCTGTGCGTAACGAATAATTTATACACTTTCAAAGCTGCCTTATCAAACAAATAATAATGGAGCAACTATAGTAGGCTCTTGTTTCAGTCAGGCTAATTAAACTTTTTGCTTTATTCATTACAAACCGTAGACCTGGGCTGGCACCTAGAGGAATCATGGTTTAGGAGGGTAGGGACGTAGAATTCTTAACAAGGACACCAGCCTCCCCCCAATTTTCTCACAAAAGCTCTACCATCACCTCATTTTGCTTTTCTTTTTCTTCATACAGCCAAGTTACACCAAAAGAATTTTTTGTGGCCCTTAATTACTGTTGTAAAGTTAGTTTGATTGGATTTACATTTGTGAAGCAGGTGGTGGAACCCCAATGTTGTCTGCATAGTAGAGTACGCCTTCATTGTAACTGTCCAAATAATTGGTAGCAGATGAAAAATAGACTATTTCGAAAAATGGGCACTAAAAAAGCTTCACTCCATGCCTGTTAGCCTAAAGTAAAATGAAAGGCATAAATGAACAAGTGTCATAAAACTAAGAAACCAAGCCTCACCTGTCTAGAAGATGTACTACCCGGTCACAAGATCGAAGCTCCTTCAGAATGGTAACTTCCCGCTTGTAAGCCTCCATCACATCTGATGGCAAATCGGCTAAGCTGACCAGCTTTACTGCACATAGCTCCCTTCTGGGGTTGAGCATCATGAAAACCTGCACATTTGACATGCTCTAAGTTTTCATAGCAAGCTTTAAAACAACATTACTCAATGTGCCACATCGTGGCTTATAATGAACAATTGACACATACTTTACAATTCGTCTTGTGCTAGCAGGAAAAGCATCCCTCTTTATCGAAACATTCACGTTAACTTGGAAAAAAAAAGTTAAATTACTGGATGTACATGGTAATTCAGGTATCACAATCACCTTTGATTTTTTCCTTCTTTTTTTGCAAGTTACCACAGGAAGGCAAAAATAACTTGCAATGCCTTTGTGATCTGTGCACCAACACCACCATCAGAAATCTCTTCTCTAGTCAGCCCCGAAGTTCTTCTTAATGTGATCATGTGGCAGTGAAGCACCAAGAATGTTTGCAGCATGAAACCAACTCAGTGCACACTAAGCATTGGACGGTGGTGTTTTATTTATATTACATTATTGCAAGGCATTCGAAATTTCTGAGACACTCTGCTAAACCTTTTCTAATGACTTTTACAGTTTTACTAGTAAATAAGAATTTCTTTTTCTGCATTATGACTTACAGTGACAAATGCTTTGGCTAACAAAAACACCTAACAGAGTGTTTTCCCAATTAAACTCAACAGAAGCCACTAGCTTGTTCCATGCAGTTTTGAAGCATCACTACAGTGAACAAAAAACACTCTTAAATATTTAACAAAAAGTGCAACCTTTACGATTAACTTCAACTACAGGCATGCTCAAGGTTCCGCATTATAGAGGGGGGGCAAAGTCTCATATAGTAGTGCTACTTCTGCTGGTCCTCCATTTTTTGCTAGCTAACTTCTGAATTTCATCATCCATCTAACTATGCCATTTTCAGCTGCCTTTCCTATCCACTGGTGTCCGTACAAGACTACCACAGGCCATCATTGCCTGTCCTACACACTATGATTTGGCCTGTTTAGGTCTAATTGTCTTTTAATGTCGGTCCCATATATTCTCCTGTCCACTCTGCTGTCGTCCAATAGCCTAACGTTACGTGTACCATTTTGCATTCCATCATTCCTGCATAGTCCTTAACATAAAGTTTCTCAGTTGTTCTCCAAGTTTCTTTTGGCAAAATGTGTTGATCGCAAGCTTCTTCCTTTGAGGGACAGCAGTAAATTCCTGGTCATGATTTGGGTGTGCCTGCCAAACGCACTCTAACCCAATCTAATTTTCGGCGAACTTTCTTTACATGAGTAGGCTCCCCTGTTAGCAATTGAGCTAGATATCCCCTTCAGGTGCGAATTATGATGCACTGTTGACGAATGGATCACTGTGTGAGTTTTAGCAGTTGTAATTGGTATGTAATTACTTCACCATTCTGCAGTCAGTAATGTCTCATTGACTTAAAGAGAATGAAATCATAGGGTTCTTTCTGATGCATGCACAATTATTTTTCACCAAATTTGTTCTGAGAAACAAAAAGTAATACTTTTGACATTGGTTCTTTAACGTGGCATGTCGAATGATCCATCGAGCATCGTAGTGCCTTCGTCAAATTGGTCGGCTATGGTCATACATGGCAGACTGGGGTTAAGTCAAGTCATATTGACTATTCAGAAGGTTCAATTCATGTAATGAACAAGTTGACATAGCTAGCATGAAAAAATTGCAAACACAAATGTAACCACCACCACTGAAGGGGATTACTACCACTGCACGAACTTCACATATGGCTCAGCCTCTGTGACAGCCTTCTTTGAAGGTGTGAATGGTGTGCCAGTCTGTCTTCATCTGATTTGGCTGCTGGAAGTATGACTGTTGCCCCATCACTGCATTGCAGTTTTTAAGGTGACTTTTCAGGTGACACTGCCAATGCAGCATTTCTTTAACTGCCACTGGTTTGCCCATGTAACTTCAGCATGCATGACATGCTGTTCAGTTTCCACACATCTATAAAAACTGCTACTCCACCACTATAGTGCAGTTGCTAAAGCAAAGAGCTCCCTTACTCTAGTCAGTTTCTACGCAAGTATTTTATGGTTTGAGAGACAACGCTGTTGTCACTGTGAGCTCTGAAGTATAGCAGTCCATCTGTTCCAGCGCATCCTATACAATAGGTATAGTAGGAGAAAGTTTTTTTTTTGCATGAAGCATTGCCAATATATCTGCCAGCTGTGTTATACCAAATACTTGAATTCCTAAATGTGGAATTCCAAAATTAAACATGTTTAGCAATTTTGCCTGCTAAAGATGGGGTATTCAAGTTTCATTTGGGAGGTGCCTGAACGGAATAAAAGGTAGAGTTCATTAATGACAACAGAATTTGGGTGCTTTCTTAACTAGAATTCCTGAATTTGGCCAAATTCATTTTTCCACAGCACTTCACTGGCCTACAATGCAATTTTCAAAATTACAGAACATGGTCAGTCTACATATTTATAATTATTTCTATTAAGATTTCCTATTTATCATTGTATTAGGATAATTATTTGGTAGCTCCGAGGACATATATTTCCCGTGTAGTGTAAAAAAACATGATGCTGGCAAAGAAGGAAGACTGAACACGATGCTAACTCTATTTTTGTGTGTGTTTAGAAAGTGCAATCTACTCTAGTTCACTGACAGGTGGCAATGAGTATATGGGCTAATCAGGCAGGCACATCAACGACTGCTTGTGAGAGAAAAGGTTTACTGAAAAGCTTTTTATGACAGGCCACCTTGCTGGACATTGCACACACTGTGCTTGCAAGCCCCTGTTTAACTGCGTTTGTTCATTATGGAAGCCCCTGTCCAACCACGCGCGTATATTAGCCAAACAATTCGACCTTACGAGAGAAATCCCTACAGTGGCAGAGATTAAAAACAAATTCTGTTAGTTTCTTATCAATCTTCACATCAAAGAAAGCAATTGTTTTTGCAATGTCAGCCGCTTGTTAGATTTGCTGGGTTGATTTGGCTGCCGATTCCCCCCCCCCTCTCCTTTTAGCCTCTCTTTGCGTTACACATACTAGTTGCCTATTTACTCGTGCAATGAATGCATTTTAAAGAAATAATAAAAAAGTCAATGTTCGATGAGTGTATTTATTACGCCGGACAAGTATTACTGAACTGTACACCCCCCCCCCCCCCCCCCCCCCCCCCCCCCCAATAAATAACAAGAGGGGGAGGAGAATAAGCCACAACACGCATAATCCAGACAAAAATAATGGGACTCGACACAAATGTATGATACGAACAAGTGAATTTAAGAACAGCTAAAGTAGGCAAAACTGGGCTAAGTTTATGGTGGTGAAAGCAGCGCAAAAGATTGTGTTAGTACGCCTCAGCTAGGCAGAGTCGAAGCGTGTTGCTAAGGGACCGTATACAAACTAGTTTTTATTGCTCGGTCAACTCTGTGAACTGGGGACTGGTTTCCTCTTTCCTCTCTCTTTTTCTATGACTTTTTTATGTCTTTGTTGATGGTGCAGAGGAAGGAAATGGAATGTCATTCTTCGACACGCTGGTAGCGCGCCACAGCTACAGTGTACTAGAAAGGGGCAGTGGAGTGAACGAGGCTGCCGCGCCGCATGTCGGCTGATTCTCCGGCGGGTGACAGTAGCGGCAGCGCTGTTGTCCCATGGTACTAAAGATCTCAGGAGTATCTGCATTGGGAGCATGTGCGCCATAGCCTGCGAAAGCATCTAATTGCTCGTTTTTAGCGCGTTTAATGCGTTTCTGAGCCTTTATCAGTAAACGCACCTGCTAGGCGCCATGGTGCACGAGTTAATATGCAGGCCCACTGATATTGCGTCGATTCATTCGCTGTTTAAAGGGCCTGCTGACCCACACACACAAAAAATAAAATGCCAATCGGAATTTGCACGGATCCGCCTAGCTGACTTAAGCTGCGCTTTGAGCTGCGTGACATCATAAGTGGCTAATGGCGAACTACAAAAAGAGGAGAAGTATCAATACTGCTATTAAATGATATGCTTGTTTTGTCGGCAGTCTCTACGACATGCAGAGCACAGTGTTCCTTATATGAGCCTACATGCGCTCGATCGTTTCACGAGAAACCCGGGTATAAGTAACGCTGTTACGACATTTATATTGGTGACGGCTCAATTTTATCATTCCAGTTTTGCGGAAGATAATAAATGTTGCTTTCTGAAAGGCTTATTACATATTGAACACATTAAAAAAACACACAAGCATATTAAACGTGCCAATTGTATATATAACCTGTCTGCTAATCAGCGTAAATTCATTGTAACCAGTTCTCATTTTGTTTTGACAGCTTAAGTTGTGCTGCTTTCCAAATTATCTATTGGCATAACGCCATTGCAAGCTATCAAATTTCTTACGATGTTTTGTATTGTAAGTATAGTTCTATTATTAAGTGTCAAAAGTGTAGGCAGGCAGTGGTGCATCTTGTTTTGAAAAATTTAACTTCTATATGTTGTTAAGGTCGAAAGGAAGGTCGCTGGAGGATACGAAAAACAAAACAGGTTTATGGCACTATTTACACATATTTACAGAAAGAAAAAGTTAGTGGTTTCACAAACCACGAGCGTGGTGGTTGAACGTTACATAGTTCAGAGCCACGTCCAGCACTCTGCGGCGTCGTTTTAAGCCCTGTCGGGCTCCTCCTCTCTGAGTGGAACACCAATCACACACACACAACAGGTGAGGGGGACGAGCATGCACGGTCCACGTGAACGTCCAATTTTGAGTTGTGAACACTGCACTGCAAGGTGGCGCCAGCAGGGCTCTTCCTCGTCGTGTGTGTGCCGCTAGTCGAGAGTTCCCACGATCCTGGCAGCATACTTCAAAGGGTCCGCCGCACAGCTCGCCCAATTAGCGGGGCGATCTGCGGTGGCCGCCGCGGTCTCTTCCAGGAAGACGCCGTCCCTGTTGTCCTCTTTCGTCGTGGCGTCGCGGCGACACGACGTCTTCTCCTCCGGCCAACAGGGACAATGCCTGACGGGCATAGGCAGTCGGCCGGTCGGCTACTTGACTGAGAATTAAAAGAGCGCCGCTCCGCCGTCAGCTCTGGCGCCGGT